CGACAGCCATGCCGTCATCCGAGGTGAGGCATGCCCCGTCCATCACGGAGGTAGAGCTTCGATGAACCTGTCAAGGAGGATGTGCCAGCAGAACCCTTCTCCACCATGCCACGCACCCCATCGGCCATGGCCTTGGCCATGGCCCAGGACGACAGTCTCGAGCTACTACTTTCGGGCTTGACGTCGAGGCGATTCGAGGCTAGCGGAACGAGCGCCATCTTCGAAGGCAGGAGGAGAGTCGACGTTTCCCCATCATGCTCCCTCCGCCCTAGGGGGGGGGGGCACGAGGAACGAGGGTCACACGACACCACGGGGGAAGTGCCCATTCTTGCTGTGGAGCGCACCTCGCAAGGACTTGTATGAAACAAACTTGCCAGCGCGAGTGGGAGAAGCCTGGAATGCTGGCATAATACCGACGCATCGGCGGTAGTGCTTTGCTTGCCGATACTGCCGGCGTTTGGTCACTTTCTCCCCGCGGGGCGCTTTGAAGCGAGGGTCTGGTGGCCAGCAATTGTATGACTTGTCGTCAAAATAAACTACAAAAGCTAAGACGGTACCCCTGAAAGGAGCCAGAGCGGGCCGACATTTTGCACAGAGCCCCCCCTTGGCCTCGCTGGCGGATATAACCGGGCTTCGAGCAGGGAAAACCGCTGCTCAGGCTCCAGGCCGTCGAACCAGAAAGCAGCCAGTCAGCCCGCCCAGTCTCCTCTCTTTCGACCGTTGGCAAGAAACCTGGTTGACTGTCTCACTAGCCCGTGTTACCCGCTCTCCCGGGGAGGTACGGGGCACAGATCCGCGCGTGTTTCAAAAAGGTTGCCCAATGCCAGTCGTCGGGAGCCGCACAGGTACGGGACATGCAGACATTGATGCGTGGTGATGGGGCTCCTTTTTTCATCGGTCCCCCCCTCCCCCCATCCCCATCCCACCCAACGAACAAACGACAACAGGCGTGTCTGCTGTGGAGCTTGCGTGATGCGGAGTTGCACCGTATGGCTGCTGCATCGTGGGAACCCGCTCGGCCCCCTCCAGGAGACCGGGATACACCATCGAGCACACACAAAGCCAACAGCCGCCAGGGTGGATAACGTTTGTCTCTCTCCCTCCCTCTCTCTGGCCCCCAGCCAGCCAGTTTGACCCATCCGTCCTTCTACTGCAGGGACCAGCGTTCGAGGCTCGATGAACTCAGATGCCGGTATGCAAGACGCCTGCGGGTGGGCTAGGGGGGTCTGCCAACGTGTTCTGACAGATAAGACACAAACACACTCACTTTTACACACTCACACATAGTGTACATACACACATACACACACCTACACACTGCTGCTACTGCTACAACACCCCCACGTCGTTGGTCAACTATCTTGTCACCGGTCAGGGAGGCGCCTTGGGCGAACGAGCGCGTGTGTCAGAATACCCCTACAAGGACATGGGGTTTTTCCTAGTGTAGACCTGGTGTGATTTTTTTTCTCCCTGGCCCTCCATCCCACTTTCCATTAACAAGGAGAGCCCGGTCTCGACAAAACACGTTATCCAGCCAGCCACCTGGCAACACATCGGAAGCCCTCCGCCCGCAAACACACTCTGGGCCAGATTCCACCTCACCTGGCTGGCTGGCTGGCTTGGCCCATTTGCGGCGCTTCGGCCGAACGAACAGCTTGCCATTTTCAGAAACCCAGCCATCATCTGCCGATTGCTTCACGCATGACTTGATCTGATCTGATCTGATCAGCAGCCAGCCAGCCTGCCTGCCTCTCTCTGTTGTTCACTTGGAGGCCCCCCTCCGATTGGAGAGAGGGAGAGGGAGCAGCCCGAAACGGATCGCAGCCCGAAGAAGCCACGACGGTCACATGTGTCACGATGCGGAGAGGGAGGGTAAAGCACCACCACAAACAACCTCGATGACGCTGGAACGAGCACACACGCGGGCGTTTGGGGGCGGCCGCCGCGGGACACTGTGGGACTTCGTCCTGTGTCCTTGTCCCGGAGTTCTGGCCCCACCTTGCCTACCTTCTTCAAGAAGGTGGTGGCGGTGGTGGTGGTGCTGCTGCTGCTGCTGCTGCTGCTGCAATACGACATCGGGCTGTACATACTATACTGCCTTGGGCTTGGGCTTGGCAACACGCTAAGTACCTAGCTAGTATGGTGGGTGTGTGGCCGAAAAGAACGTATCTACTTACTTTGCTTGTACGGAGACACACGAGACTATGGGTGGGTGGGTGGTTGTTGAAGATGCGCCATCATTGTCGCTACGATGGTGTCCTGGGAGAGAAAAGAAGCGCAGTACGATGATGTCCAGCGTTGACTGGGCGGCCATGGTACTGAGCTCCCGATGATGCATGTGCATGTATGTATGGAACAGAGCCATGACAGCCGCTCTGCTCTGACGCTGTTGATCTCTCTATGCGTTCTCTACTTCCTTGATCGTTCTTCCTTGCGATTCTCGGAGGGGTAGGCGAGTCAATCGATGCATAAGACGTGCAGTCATCATGAGAGAACCGAGGACCGCGGGCTTCTGTGATGAATTTTGGACTCGCAAGCTGACCGTTTCGTCTCGTTTCGTTGCGTTGCCTCTTGCGACCCAGCCAATCTGACTTGTGTGAAGTCCGACCTGAAGAGTGTCTGTTTGTTTGTTTGTTTGTCTGTTGTGTGGCCAGGACACCGTGGTATATCAGCATTCGCACCGGTGCCGGGCAGCGTCTCCCTGCTGGGCGGGGCTCGCCTTACTTGCCGATGCCGCCCACAGGTCACGAGTGAATGCCACTGCGCTACCGGACGGAGCTCGATGTCCAAGCTTCAAACCCTGGTTCCCCAAACGCTTGGTATGAACCCGCTGCTCCGTGGCTGAGGCTATCGCAGGGTTGGTGCTTGCCGAGGGGTGCTATAGGGACGTGGAAGCTACTGCTCCCTCGGTTTTCCCCTCCTGTTGCTTACTTTCTCGGTCCGCTGTTGCTGTTGCTGTTGCTCCTTCCCCTTTTGTGGCCAGCCTTGCCCCAGGGACGACGTTGGACCAAGGCTGGGCTGACGACTAAGCAACGTCAGGTCCCCGGCAAGGCTGCAACTGTGTCCGTTGTACTAAGCGACCTCACTGTGCCGGCAAGGCTGAGTGCCACATACACTGATGGGGGCGACCAGAAAAGCGTGCTTGTTGGGCTGCGAGGACGGTGTGGTTAGTGTGCACTTGGGTGAATGGAGCATCTGCACTGAAGTTTGCTGAGGATTGAAAGAGTATTGGCAGCTTGAGGCAATTCGGCAGATGTTCAATGCTTGCTGGGGTGGTCCAGGGAATTTGGACATACATTGTCTTCATGTTGTGGACTTGGATCGATTCAATGGGGGTCATCAGTGATGTACGCTCTGATTAGCAGGGACGTGGAGGTTTTATACATTGGCAATCAGGTAAACCGGTACGAAGATGTGCATGTCGACATGGTGGCCGAGAGGGAGTTGAGTGACAGAGGACAGACTGCGGTACTGCCAAGAAAGCTGTCTCTTTTGCTATGTAAGTGTAAGAGCTTCAGTAGCCGTGACAACTGAAGCAATGCTACTAGTCAAGTGAGTGGTCGAGTTACCCAAGTTCCCCCGAACCGATTAGGTATCCTCGCTCCCCCTTGTGGAGTGTATCGAGCTTTGTTGAGACATTTCACGAGGGTGACATTTGTTCCCATCGAAAGATGCAGACTTCAAATAGATTCCTTGAGCGTTATATAAGAAGAACAACCGCCCTCTGATGTATCTGTGCCTGCAAGCTGTGATTGAGATGCCGGTCCATATGGAGATGCTCGTCACAAGCTCACTGGCAAACGGAGGCCAACAGCACATCACTGGGTATAGGACTGAGTTTACATGCCGAGATTTTTGATGAATGTATTAGCTGCCTTTCCTCACTCTCTATAATTACACTTCCAAAGACGTACGTTTTGTCTAAGGTGACAGGGGCTGGAGCGAAGGTCGGCGGTATGCTGCTGTCAATAGTTGGAGAGGGATATACATAAACTAACTGCCACTCTCCGCGGCGATGGCTCTGGTCTCCTTTCCACGCGTCTTCCAGCGGATTATGGGGGGGCGCTATTTCTGACTCCTGAGGGTATCACGGTGGCCTGTAGCCATGCGGTGGCGACGTGTGAGACTGGAGATCCCATGCCGCGTTGACCTACCAGCTTGATTGTGTAGACTCCTAGCTATTCCAGACGTGTTGTCTGCGAGGGAACTCGTTTTTGTTGTATTAACCGTGCGTGTTCTCGTGTTACCAATATTCTAGGATCATAGGACGCATCGCGAGGGACCTTGGGTGCTGGGCGACGAAAGAGTTGCGCAGAGCCATGCTGGTACGCAGGGGAGATATCCATATGGGCTGGCTGCCTGTGTGTCCTCATTCCTCGTACCGAACAATCAATCTTGTATGGATACCCATTGTATGTAGCTGAAAATGGTCCTGGGGGAGTGATGTCTCGTGTTAGACACTCGTATGTGCAGGGTAAGTCCACATTTCGAAACCACCCTCCTCGTTTAACACCTAACGGTCATGAAACCGGAAGGTAGAGCCATCATCTCGCTTGGCAAATGTAACTAGTCTCATACCCAAACAAGTCGGTGCAGGATATATTTTTCGCATCCCTAGGTAGGTGGCCCAATGATAACAAAATGGCCATCCGGGGCATGCTGTGGGACGATCCGCATGGAAACGGATCCATGACTACTAATTTGCAATCCATAGCATATATTATTCGAGTGTGCAAGTAATTTTCTTCTTGTCTTCTGCGATTTGTGAAGGGAATGATGAAGGGATGGTCAATAAAGTCGTCTTGCTCCCCCTGGTCTTGTTACAGCATTGAAGTGCTTTGGATGCCCCTCCCCTGTCCAACAAGCTAGGCCGATATCGAGACATCTCTTTCCTCCCAGCTATAAGTGATAATTCTCATATGAGTCTACGCAGTAGCTGCAACTTGCCCTGGTTCACTCCAACGATTTCGTCCCAGTTGACTGCAATATTTCCAACCAAGACCCCATATGGTGCAGTGATCAGCATATTGGATTTTCAGGCAACAGTGCTGAGAACCTCCAAAGACCAGAGTTCAAATCTCCGTGTGGGTGTTGCGAATGTTTTGTAAACCTTGGCTAAAAAAGAGACAGCAGAAGCTGCAATAAAGTAAACTTTAGAGTTCACCCACATCAACGGCTGGACCTGTCAGGGGGTCTATAAGGTATCTCCCATCAACTGTCAGCAGCCCTTGAATCGTCTTATTGCCTATCCTAACTAGAAATCACATACTAATGGGACTTCTATCGTGGAGCTGGGCCTGCTTAAGCCCCAGGAATGTGTTTCCACTACATACTTCGTGGCATGCGATACCAGGACTCGGTGGGAAGAGCAAGCCTTCAACAAACCCCGCCATGTCAATTTCCTTCCGGCCATGACACCATCTTGCTATGCGGAATAAATACACACTAAGTCGCCCAGCGAGTCTTTCGAGTTCACAAGCCGGCGGACACACACTACCGTGATACTGCTAATCCTCCATGAGGTATGCTGGCGATCTCACCCAGCAGGAAAACCACCCCTATGATGGACGCAATGCCTTACCTGTGATCAGTTCCGAGAATAGCTAACGCTGTCGCATATCGCCAAGCTGTCAAAATCTACGACCGGTTTGGGCGCCCTACGACAACACCCCAGCTCTCTCTTGAGACTGCGCTGACTCCCTGGCCGGATGCGTAGAGGCCGCAGGTTATAGCCCACCAGATTACGGCCGTGGACAGTGACCAGCCCGCGACGAGTACTCTCATAACAGGAAGATGAATGTATGTATGTATGTGTGTGTGGGTGCCGCATCGAGGAACATAGGACAGCAGGACCAAACAGTGGGAGGCAAGGGGCCAGAGAGCAACAGGCGTCTGCGGCATCTTTCCTGTTGCCCCCGCGACACGGATATGGTTTTCCCGTGGAGATACCGAGATATCTCGGATCCTGCGGCGTGGAGAATCATCTGCCAGGTTTTATATAAGCATATGATGAGAATCTGGAAAACCCTGAAAGGGGCAGGCTAGGACGAGGGCCGAGCTAACGGGGGCTGGGGGGAGAGTCAATGGACGAAAAGACCAGCGGGAAACCACGATACCGCCAGGTTAGAGGCATCATCAACTACCTGTTGATTCGTACCACACCTGGGAAGGGTTGAGAATAGGGGGAGACACTACCTGTCGGGTTCAGGACCGTTCTTGACCGTTGTGGTCATTGTAGACCTCGACCACCGTACTGGTATCAGCAGTACTGACAGACGCATAGCCCAGATAGACGGAAAAGATATACTCGACATAATCCCAATATTGCAAGGAGCGGATCATACACGATAGCAGATTAGGGAGTGTGAAGTGGCTATATGTGCGTTGCATGCGCACTTCGCTATCGAGTGACGTCGGCTGACATCGCGGTTCAGATCGCCTCGGAACACACCTACCTACCTACCTACCTGCCTACCTCAACCAGGGGCCGGGAACAAGTGTAATGTATGGAGTATATAGCAAGACCCAAGGATAGCATGTGTCGTCTGTCATTTTATGTTCTATCACCCTCTTAACATGATCATGAGGTAATGATGTCTTTCGCTCATCTGCGGGGGCTGCTGCCATCTCAACACCTTCTCACAAACGGCTTCGATCTTGGCTGACTACTGGAGTAGCCTTCGTCGAGCGGCCGGTGAGTAGCTGGAAGTTGACGACATGAACTTCACGACCCAAGATATATCTAATATAGCAGTCGCAAGAGGCAGGAGATTTCCTGAACGAGACGTTTCCGATCGTTTGTTGTAAGGCTTGAAGATCAATGGTATTTAAAAAAGCAATATAGCCTATAATGCGGCACGGGGATATCACAAATGTAATAATAGTAGATCCATCCAAGCGCAGTACCCCGTTTCCAACTCAGATGGTGTTGCGCATCTCCTCTCGTACGGCAGCGACCCAGAATAAATAACATAACCACCCAGCAATGCATCGTCATCCGCTGATGTATGTGAAAAAAAACTTTTTGATCAAGATGGCCTCAACACTCCCTTTCCTTCATGCTCGCTCGTCATGCCGTTTATCACCACGCTCCTCTCCCCGACGTCTATATGCTCCGAACTCGCGAATAACTCTTGAATCAGCGTCAAAATTAAAACATGACAGTCATGAACTAGTGCTTGTCCAAGACAGGGCCGCCGACAACACTACCGCTGCCGGTCGACTGCCTCGGCTCGCCCTTCTCGCGCTCCTCGACGTTCGTGATGGCGCTCTGCACTGCACTCGTCAAGTCGACATGGAACAGCGGCCTGTTCAGGCCGTGCACCGGCACCAACCTCCGGCTGCCCGAGTTTGCCGCCCTCCTCTCCGTCACCGGGACGTTCTTGATCTCGTCGTTCCAGCTTCCACCACTGGCACTGCCCGTGTCTGCGATTTGGATGTGGTCCGGGTTCCGTACTCCCTCCTCGACATTCTCCTGCGAGAGCTTCCGGTCCCTTGCCAGCTTCTCGTTCAGACGAGCCTCTTCTGCCGCCGCTGCCGAGTCGTCGCCACCAATCTCGGCGACGGAGAAGATGCTCTTCCACCGGCGGTGCATACCATCTGATCGCTCTGTTGGGAAGCCGAAGCCAGCAGCCGCGAGGGCACGCTTAGTCCACTTGCTCTGGATGTTGGCGATGTGCCAGTCCACGTATTCAGGTGCGGCATACCGGTCGAGCTGGTTGCGCACATCGATAAGCTGTTGTACAGATGTCACGTCGACGAAGTGAACTGCGCTGAAGTCGAGGATGACAGCTCTGAGAGTGGGCAGGCCCTCCTTGTGGGCATCGAGGTTGACGTTGTTGGCGAGTGCCTTCTTCAATTGGCGCTTGGACGGGCCGGGGTCGTTCCAGGGTCGATCGCCGGGACGCGCGTATGCCGACATATTTGTCTTGCGGGTGTGCGCGAAGATATAGTCCGTCATGAAGCTCAGCGTTTGACTAGCGTTAGGGTAAGTGAGGCCCTCGGCGAAACGGTAGATGAAGACGCCCGGGTGGGGCTGGCTGAGCACTACCGCGGGGTTGGAGCCGTCCCTGTGATCGACGGGCAAGAAGACGGTACGCTCCGTAGGGTTGTCGTGAGTCTCAGAATCCGGATGGAACGTGCCATACTCGTCAACAGCCCGACTCGGCTCGCTGCCAATGAGGTGGTTCTCAAGAACAGAGTGGACCTTGACGCCTCCGAGGAAGGTACCCTTGCTTCGAAGGATGCGGTAGAGCAGCAGCGCAGCTGAAATGCATATGGTACAGTAGATGCCGTTCTCGATGGTGGTGAAGATAGTGACGAAGATACCAACGAAGAAAATGACCACCTCAAAAGGCGAGACTCGCCAGAACTGGTACACCGTGTTCGGGGGCGTCACCAGGTCACCGACGGCATGGATGACAACGGCTGACAGCGAGGCACTTGGAATGTAGAAGAAGACCGCCGGCAACGCATAGATAGCCAGCAGCACCACGATTCCAGAGATGACACCCGCGAAAGGAGTTCGAACACCAGCCCTTGCCTTGATGGCCGTACGACTGAAAGAGCCCGTGGCAGGGTAACCACCGAGGAAAGGACCCAGAAGGTTTGAGACTCCGATGGCTACCATCTCCTGTGACGGGTTGATTGCGTAGTTATTGACTCGACCGAAAGACTTGGAGATCGCGATGTGCTCAATCAGGAGAATGATGACGGATGATGGGAGATAAGAAACCAGCTCGCGGCAAATTTCTTTGTCGATTCGTGGAACCGCCGCATTTTGAAAACCTGTAAAAAATGTCAGCCATATGTAGCCTTTATGTGAGACGATGCCAATTATTCTTACCTCTGGGGACTGTGCCAAGAATTTTGAACTCGGGGTCCGAACGACGATGCCTGTTGCAGAGCCAGCTGATCATGGTGTACAGCAGGATCACGAAGACCGTGCGCATGGTCATTACGAAGAAAAGGATCTTCTGTTTAGCCGGCCACTTCTTTGCAGCCATCTGACACGCGAGTCGGATGCCGTAAAGCATGATCAGGGCGGTCAAGCCCATGGCAGCATCGATTTTGGTGGTGTCGATATACTTCCATGTGTTGATGATGACACGGTATGTGGCGTCTCTGGTGGTCCAGGGACTCGGGAACTTGATGCCCATCATGGTTGGAACTTGACCGACGAGAATGTTGATGGCCGACCCCGACATGAAGGCCGAGAGTGATACCAGCGGGATCAAATCGATGATCCAACCAACCCGGATGAGACCGAGAAAGCAAATGATGCCGCCGGAGATGAGGGCCAAGGCAGAGGCGACCCAATGCCCCTCGATATCGGGGCGAACAGCGTGGACTTTGTCGACAACGTCACCGGTGACTGTGGACATGACGGCGACAGGCTACATAAAAGTCAATAGAGTGTCAAGACCAGTGTTCTGAGCGATTTGCTTACCCCGATTGTGATGTCCTTAGAAGTGGCGAAGAACCAGTATATAATGACGCCCATGAAGGACGAGTACAACCCGAATTGAGGATCGAGTTCTGCTAGTTTGGCATAACCCATACCTTGGGGAACCACGACGGCTCCGACGGTGATACCTGGCGGCCGTTAGCATGCAATATGGGTATGAGTTCTTCGCGTGGACGGAACTTACCAGCAATCAGGTCACCCCAGAGCCATTGAAGGTTGTACTTGGTGATCCAAGATAGAAATGGGAACAAAGACAGGAAGTAGTTAATCACACCTCTCCTGGTAGGGTAGATTGTTTCTTTGATCCACTGCTCGGCAGTAGGGTATGGCTCAATATACGTCTCGGGAGTGACAGAAGTGCCCGATACATCAGACCTGCCAGTCTGTGTGTACTCCTCCTCGTAGGGTTGAGGATTTTGGAGCTCGATGTTGAAGAACCAGGCCAGGCCATGGCCGACCTTGGTCCGTACGCTCGTCATATCGAACTGTTCAACTCCAAGGAGCTGGTGAGAAAACGCAATGCTGTCGGAAAGCTGGTCGATCAGAAGGGCGAGAAACGATGTGAAGAACGACGAGATATGTAGCCCGGCAGCAGCCAGTTGTGATTTATGTCACTTCAGCAGTG